AATGTTAGGTCCTCGTTGCTTTCATGTCATCCCTGGCTCAACATGTTCATTGCATTGGGGACGCACTCACCACGCATTCGTCCAGTCATTGTGAAGAATAACTGGAATCATACTCTGTAGTCACCCTAGAGATCTGCTTGTGACCGTCCAATCAATCACCAGATGTGCTTCTCAGATGGATGGGGCCCAAACCAATATGCCCTGTTCGGCCTCAAATCAAAGATCCTGCATCTAACCCATAATGTACTACGAGAGAGGCTGAAATTTTGTTTTCTTTGTTTGACTTTCTCTCGCTACCATCGCACTAGACACACATCCTCATGCCCGAATCCACCCCTCTCAGCAAATCTGTACCAGTGGATCCCCTTTCATAGCCGAGTCGCTAATTCGGTAGCCCGAACGCTAACTGTCTTTGCGATCAGCAATGGATTCGATGTCAGACAAGAAGACTCACTGGTCCCCTTCGACACAATGCATTTACATACAGTAACGTATTCGGGTCAGATGTCGTCCGATCCGAAGATCTTTATTGCAATAAGAATTCTTTGAGTCTTCTTGAGTACTAGCTGTAGGAAATGTGCAAGCTTCCTTTCGCTTACCCAACTCTTCACGCCGAGTGGGCTACTGTCACGGGACACAGGCTTCGAAAGAAGCCATCGAATATTTACGAGCAACGATTGGCTTGCATCACCGAAACTCTTAGTTTTGATCAAAGTTGCCTGTGGCTTTCGAATCCACGCGATCTCGTTTACAGGACTTGCTGTCATTAAGACCTGGCTAGCCTGGCAACCCACACCCGCCACACTATGCCAACTCAAAACAGATTGTGGATGCTTGAAAAAGAAAAGGGCAAGGGTGTGTAGGTGGAGGATTCAAGCCCGTTCACCAGGGATTCCTTAGCATGACACCTCGGTATCGCCAAGGAAGCGAAAAAGAATAATTACCCAGAGCCACGGTCCAGTTGCCGAAGATCAACATGCTTGGCCTGGCCTTGGTCTGCTTGTTATGTATGTAACATTCACCTGGATGTTTGCATGCTTACAGTACAGTACAAAGTCCTCGTGGGCTGGAGACCTTCATTTCGGGAAGGATTACCCAGCATGAGACCATGTGAGCATGCGCTCATAGGACTACGCAATCCATCAGAGAGTTCTACCCTTCAACATCCCTCAACGTGTTGGACAGAACTGGCGTCAATCACCATCAACAGTCATTGATGAAGGATGGCTCCAATATTATGATCAGACCCTTACACTGGGATGCGCCGCCCTTGCGCTAGACTACAAACATACCCTTGGGCCACTTTTAAAACCGCTGCCATGGGTCTACCACAAGCAACATGAATGGAGAACGGAGAGTCTGAGGCTATGAGCGACCAGCCACTGCACAAAAGCCTGACCTTTTTGGCATCCTCTGCATCATGTACGTACATACGTACATTTGCTGGAGTTAAATACTGCGCTTCCAACAATTTCGTGTGCGTCGAGCCAATGAAAGACCCAGGCTTGATTGACTCAAGAGGATTAAATAAGAGCCCTTGCTTCAATGAGAACTCTACCTGCAACATACCTACCGCTGTGCCTTGGCCTTTCGACACCCATGGTCCAACTTTCCCATCCACCCATGCATGCCATGTAAGTCAGCTGCCAGAAGGATTCGCTTGAGAGAGAGCCATGGACAGCCCGCCTCGGTCGCCTTGACTGAGCAACATCTCACACAGCATTAGTCCCCAGCGGCGGCATGCATGCGAGTTTGTGATCATGCAGGTGTCTTTGTTAAGATGGGGGCAGAATGATTGATTGCCTTGATTGTCTGTTTATGACTCGTTGCTCCAATGTTGTATCGTTGCTGTATAACGTTAGCAACGAGTTGTTTGGAACGCTGTGAAGCCCCTATGCGATCCTACTATGAAGTGATCATTCAGCGTCTCAGACCTTAGGTGTAGGGCGTGACCATGAAGCAATATACATACACACGACCACCGCTATCCAGTCACTTACAACAGTCCAAATCCAAATCTGGTGGAGCTCTGCGGAGGTCGACCGTCCAGCGGAAGGGATATGGCTCGCGGCACGCCGTAAGATACGGCAATCAGTCTCGAGTTGGCCGGACCTGGTCTTGGGTCTTGTGGATAGCTTGGCGGCGCAACCTTGGATAGCCATGGTACCGAGAATGCTTGAACAAGCCTGTTACTTATTTCGGCGTATTTTACTACTACAATTTGGGTGTCTTGATTGGATACTCAAAGAGACCAGCATCAGGCAGCCTTCATCAGACCTCTTCAATCCTGACTACCAGACCGGTTTCAATGCTGTATATCGACGCGACCACCACCACGTAACCATGTCACCAATAGAGTACCACCACTTTTACTTTCTCTTGAATACACCATGGCTTCCCAGTCTCTCAGTTCCGCAATCAAGCGAGGAGAGAGTCAATGGTTTGTACAGTAAGCTTGTGAGAATGATCCCTTGGATAGGATACTCGAGAATAGACAAGAGGTACTCTCGAAAAGTCCCATTCATTAGATTTCGTTACCGATCATAGAATGAAAAGTAATTCAATAATTTATTCAACACAACATTACTGTCCGCCCGAGACTCCAAACGATCTCCAGTCCCTAACACGACCTGGCATTCTCCCAAAACATGTACATGCTTGTCTATAAAGCCTGCGGCGTAGTGCTAGCATCTAACTATAGAGCCCGGAAGCCGGGGGCATCTCCAGCTGCCGCCCGCTCCTCCGTCCGAGAAACCCATACCGATCGGGGATGTTCATGGCGGGTCAGAGCAGAGTTCAGCCATACCAACGGAAAGTTGCAAAGCCCTCTCTGACCGTCAAGTCCACATCACTCGGGCTTATTCGCAACACCCCCTAGAACTAATACGACACCACCCAATTGCCCATTATGGCTGTGACTGGGCATGTGTGGGGGCCTATGAGATTGGATATACCCTCCATCGCGACAAGACTCATATCCACAGTTCACCCCTTGTCTAGTGCTGGCAGAGAGGGTTTCTGGCTTCCATCAGTGTGCAGGGGATTTGAGACATGCTCAAAGCGGGCCGGCGTCATTCGCAAAGCAAAGCAAGCACTCGTTTGTCTCGACGAGGTTTGATGGATCTGAAGCTTTTGTCATGCCGTATCCTATTTGATGGTGCAGCACTTGAATCACATCCCCTTAACCTTGCTGAGAGCCAGCCAACAAGCAACATGCCAGCTGCATGTACGTACCGCCACCTTGCATGAGCTTTGGTGTGATGATCAACGACATACCTACATACTACGTATTTGACTTCAATTTCTGGTATCTACAGTATGGTACATACTCCGATATTGTCCGGTTATTTCTGATGTCTGATATCGTCATCGAGACAGTGGCTTATATACATAGTACGGAGTACTCTCTTTAGATTCGTGTACATATTCCTGTTCTCAGTTCTCACTCCTTGTTGAAAACATGCCCCACCAACAACAAAGGTGCTTCAAGTGTGGACTGTTGTGAGTTTGGTGCTGCAATTAGAATGGTCGTCCTGCTCTCAAAGCTGTGTTGACCGCGGACACATTAGACTTGTCGCTGACTTGGTCCTGGTTCCTTTCATCCTATTCTGTCGTGTCCTCCCGTCTCATTTGACACGTCTCACACCTTGCCCCTGTCCCTGGTGCCATTGCTAAACAAGCCAGCTGCCCAAATAGCAACTACGGCAAATCGTCTTGGGCCTGCGTCTCGGGGCTTTTGGGTCCTTAGACTCTGCACCGCATGACGACGCTGTCGAGCGGCTCGCAGCTCGCTTGCCCTTTAGAATCCTCCCTAGTGTATACTATGTAAGCATTAGCTGCAGACGGACGGTTGGCCGCAGCCCTGGCTCTGGTACCGTAGTCTGTGCTGCAACCATGCCTTGGGGCGTGTGCAAATTCTCGAGAGACGGTGCGAAAATAAATAGTCGAAGGATCTCCTAAATTAGTCCTGGATCATTCTAAGTCTGTTTGAGTATTTATGTCACGTATGATTAAGCTCTAAGGTTTTCTGGCATCCCACGACTAGCCCACCTACATACATTAGCTAGCTATTGGTTTCGCTCAACCGTCTCAACGAAGCTTGGGAATTAAACATCCCTTGTGATATGATTCCCTAGAATCGATTCTTAGACTTAGGCTCGAGCGTCCAACAATCATTACGAGACTTTTCTGCTGTCGTATTACGTGTTTGTAGAGCTATAGCCTCTGTTGATAGATCAGCTGGTAGATGGGATAACTCAAGGATGTTTACTTCCATCTTGTTCTTGCACTATCTAGACTGTTTCTTCACACCAGCACCAAGACTAACGACGTGCTTCTAGACTAATCGTGGTCTCCATGCAGTAGCCCCGGCGCATCCGCGTGGTTCAAGGTTGTGTCTTGCAGGCAGAGTAGCATCATCCTTACCCTTCTTAACAACCTAGGCCAGGACAACAAGACACCTGCTCATCCACTTGCATCACATCAACAAGCAGGAGAGAGACGGGACAGGTCCAAGTTGACACCTGACTAACCAATCCGTGCCCTCACCAATAGCGGGAGTGCGTGTCCGTATGTGCACTACGGCGGTTGAAGATCAAAGCAACCCAATGTTTCTATTCCCCGTTTTCACCGCCTTTCTCCCCTGTTTCTAATTATCCCCCCTTCCACTTCTCTCCTCCACTGTCTGTCCCTTCCAGTCATATGCTCAACTGTCTCTCTTCTGCCCACTAAATCTCTCATCACCCGAATTGAGAGCATTATCAGCCATAGGCAGCGACTCATGGTTCGCCGAGCTACTTTGCTGTTTCTTGCCATTTCTTTCTCCGCCCATGAGCGGTTTAGTATTCCCCCCAGTTCCCCTTGATATTCCGGCATCTGACCTTGCACCGAAAGAGTCTGCCTAAAGAGCTAAATGTGTGGATTGTCGTCAAGCAACCATCGTATTATCGGGATAAGACCCAGGCAATCATGCCCATGGCTGCCCGTAATCAGGTATTCATTCAAACGCCTCCAATCTCCGTTTCAAGCATGTCTCTTCCGAGTCCATCGAACCCCTCCCGCTGCACTTTGACCGTAGCCAGTCGAACAGCGAAACCCAGCTTCGCTCCCATGGTCCAGTCGTCAGGGTGACAGATCAGTCCGTACAGCATTCCGGCTATGAAAGTGTCACCCGCTCCCACGGCACTATATCTCGAACAGTGGTCAGGTCCTGCAGTTTTACGCGCCTTGTACTAGGTTTTGTTGCTGTGTTAGGTATTGTCAGGGTGGGACAACTCACTCGATCACGGAAATGTCTCGCCCTGATTTATCCAGGGCAGGGCAGTGAATACTCTCGCCTGTCGACCGAGACAGCCCAGCTGCTCCATCTTCACCCCACGTACACAGTGCCAGTGACCTATGCAGCTTCTTGTCAGCAAGGGCCATACAGTCAAAGCAGAAGCCTGATGTCCTTCCATGAAACGTACGCCTTTTGATGCCCTTCAGCTCTCAAGCATTGTTCCGGAGTCTTGTGTCCTCGACTCTATCCCCCTTGTTAGGTCACTGCAATTGTAACGGCCGATATCCATGAGTCCACTCTCACCTCAGCCCAACTTCGCGAATAGAAGACAACATCCGCTTCTGCCGCCAGCTCAGGGAGGCCCTCTCTACCAGGCTTCTCAATTTCGACACTGATTGTCGCTTTTGGTAGTGCGTTACGCAGGAGACGGATACAGCTCTGTATGGTATCCGGGATTCGGCCCTGTTGTTCCATCATTAGCCTAGAATTACCGGGCAGAGGTCCCCGCGTCTGCATCCTACCTCAAAATGCCACCATGTCTCCTGGTCCGGGTTGAAGCCTCGTGCGATGTTGCCAAACTCGTCTTCAGTCATTTCCAATAAGTCATTGTAGTTGACAAGCGTGCGACTACCTGATGCCTCGCTACGCATGATGTAACTGCTTGCCGCCTCCGTACTCTCCTCACGATAAACGCAGTGGCTGAAGTCAATGTTCGACTGCTCACCGAACGACGATATAACACGCTGTGTTGCGGACGAGCCAGTAGCGGGAAGGGGTGATACCAGATGTAGCTGGAGGGTGTCGCGCTCGGAGAGTAATTGTTCTAAGACCTGAAGAGAGTTGGGACAGTTGCCTCCACGTCGGATGTTGAGACTGGTGGCACGTAACTTGGAGTCTTCGGATGGGAAGAAGGGAACACTGGAGGTGAGTTAGTAAATGCCATGTGAATGCAGTAGAGGTGACGTTCGCGAGGATTGTATCCAGGTAACAAGCCCCTACGGCAATGAGATGCTTCATGATGTCCAGTGCCGTGCTTGTTGCAATATAAACTGGAAAGCAATGACGACCACCTAACTTGCGTCGGCTTACGCGTGAGGCAGACCCTATCACTTGACGTCGGCGTTATGTTGTATCTCCCTTTGTGAGTTCTGGTGATGTAAGTAGTTCCAAAGGTTCCAGTATAAGTGAGGGGTCCGCCGCAGGTTGGGTGTTCCACATATATTTTGTCACTCCTACATAGGTAGATAGTATGCGTATTGTCTCTGGTAAAAGAGATACCCGTCGAGGATTACAAAACTCGTTACATTAATACGGTATACTAAAACACTAGCCTAAAGACCTCCTAAGATGCACTAAATATGTTCTTTACTTACCTTACGATAGAGATCTCGCGTGTTCCTGCCTACCCTAAATCTTATGTATACTCAGGCCCGACCATCAGCGTGACATGGGGGAACTGCCCAAGAACCTCAACTTCGGAGGCTGCTAGTAACCTCGTATTGTGCATATGTACGTGGTTGTGATTCATATCGTTTATGGACCACCAGTATGATACCTTCCACTCTACCTAAACCGATTATCGTTCTTCTTACTCCTCCTGAGCGTTGACTAGCTCGGCCCTTTTCTACATATCTTGACCGTTGAAAACATACACTTTGTCGCTTGATGATTGTGCCTCCAAGGACTGCACTAGGAGCCAGCTCTGCTTGTTTTCCGACCGGTCTTTCGCACATACGAAGATTGTGTCGACGGTGCTAGTAGCCGTAAAGGCGTCCGGAAAGGTGGCTGTAGAATATCTGGTGTTCCTCGTTTGAGCAATGCCGTCAAACCCGTCAAACCCGTCGACTATCGTCTGCTCATAGCAATCAAGTTGAGACCTGGCTTTCGAGAGAGCAAGGAGCGATACCAGGTAGAGTCCAGACGCCGAACAATAGATGCAATACAAGAGTGCAGGCAACCGGGCTTTCTCCCAAATCGATGGAACGACTTGGAGGGGATCCAGCCATGAAACATCCGTGAAGCTCTCCAAGGCGATAGTTATCATTATGGTGTTATTCGCAGTTTAGGGTTACTAGATTATCTCGAAATGGTATCACCTTTTTTTTTTGTCTCGTTATTACTTAGCTCAAAGTGATATTTTGGAGCTTATATAATATAAGCTGAAGTGTATATCTTAACCTTAAGTATTAGTAGTCGAGTTGCTTGTTGAGAAGAGAGTTGAGAAAGTTAAGTTGGAATATATGATCAGATATCATAAATATTGATATGATTGTAGTTCGTGACAACAAAAGATATAAGTTGGGTCATACACCACGTAGCACTGGGTCAATAGTAGCCCACGCAACTCATGTAGTCGTCGAAAGTCATGCCTTGGGTGTACGTAGAATAGTGGCCGAAGGCGTACGCCAAGAGGACGATACTGTTAAACGAAGCCAAAACTAGGGAAACCTTCCTAAGATCATGTTTTCCATGATGAATAGTATATGCCAGTCAACTTGACTCTGGTGAAGTAATGGCCGATGCTGTATCTGCTTGCATGCCAGTTCTGATCCTGTTGCATGAGGACGTTGGCGGCCACTCTGTTAGAGGTCGACTGTTTGGATAGTCGGGTACCGTTTGACGCCGACCAAGACAGTACCGTCGTACTTCACAGGCGGTTCCTTGGATTACAACAGGAAGTAAAGTAAAAATCAAGTTATTATTGCTTATATTTTCTCTGAATGTTATAGCAGAAATTTGGCAGCATCAAAAAGAAAAGAAAGAAAAAAAAGCAAAAGTCCATGTTAAGGTTGCTTTGCCAGTTTCCTCGGAGATGAAAGTTATACTGTGAATATCGATCGAATACCGGTTGATTTGTTCTGTCGTTGTCAGATATGCAACCAAGACCCCAAGGATAATTAGGCGTCATGTTCATGGGATATAATTAAGCACCCCAGGCCACTCACGGTAGTGATCCTTGACTTACATGCCTATGTAATATGCCATGCTGTTTCACAACATGGCATATCTCTCCTACTGGTTCGGCTGGCTATTGACCATCACCATAAATCGAAGCAATATGGGAAACCCATCCTTTAGGGAACGTGGCCTGCGCATACAATGCACTCTCATATTGGTTCTTATCCAGATCACCTCCATACAGTCGTTCCTATCATTGTGGTGCTCAAGTGTTACTATATTCGTTAACACCGAAAGCTCGCATAACCTTTGACGTGGCATTCCTTAATGTCGACGATGTTAAGTGCTTAATGCACATGCCAGCATAAATTTATCGTTGAGATTCACTCGACCTCCTCTTCTAGCTCATATGAATACTATCTAATGTGGGGGAAAAAAAGTGTGTCTACGTGGGTGAACTGAACGTCGAATAAGTTGTGGTTTATCCGCCACACTGACAAGTCTTACCTTCAGGGCCTGGTGAGTGACTGGTCGGCTTCTGCTGATCTTGGAAGGGGAATCAGAACCTTGTTTGCCATGTTGGCAGAACCCAGGAGACCCTTTCGTTCGCATGGTGGGATTAGGTCCCTTAGTGAGCCAGAAACAATTCAGAGGTAAGTCATCTATTTGGGTTTATTCATTTGATGTTGTATTGCTCCTCGAGGATTGCCAATCGTCGCAGCCAGTGCGTGCATCTTGTCTTTATATAAGTATTCAGTTATCGCTAGGTATCAGTCCAGGTCAACTGTTCGTGTAACTTGATGATGTAGTGGCCGTACTGGGGCTGCGTCTGATCAATTGTCATGGAACTTTCCTGTTGGAATGGCGATGGCGCCAGTGATGTTATTTTATCCATTGTTATAGGTAGCTTGGTCGGGACCACAATTAAGTAGTCGCTGAGTTCACTAGGATCGGTTTTTAGAGCACCCTGTGAGCTAGATCATGTCGTCAAGAAGGATTCCCAAGATTAAACTTCATATTTGAAGGCCCATTAAATCATCTATGGCATCTTGAAGTTGCCCAACCGACATACACTTATGGTTAGACTTTGAAACCTTTCTGCCCTTATTTAGGCATTTCGTGATATACATGTGTATATTAGTTATACTATCAGAATGGATACGTATGAGTTGCCACTGGTACGGTATGTGATACTACTTCACTGGGATATCAAGTGTTGATCCACAGTTCATGCTAGCCGCTTCACTAATGTTAGGAACCTAGCTAAAGTAAGATAAGCCAGTATGTAAATTTCTATCGTATTGTTAGATGCAAGCATCAAAATATTCCCACCTTACTGCTGGTGTTAAATTGAAGACATCATCTTGTCGTATGTTAATATTGCTTTTCAGGTTCTTTGAGGCCACAACAAGATTTGCGAACGACTTTATCATTTCACCCAGACATAGGAGATGAAAATATGGATGATAACACGTAGAAACGATCATAGATTTGAGCATAACATCTCTTTAAGCTACGACATGACTAAAATCTTGCATATATGCTAGTATCTGGGGAAACCGCCTTCATTCTTCTCCTGCAACATAGCTCACTTTTGAGCAGAGTAACCCTCGGACTTAGCAGAGTGTTTTGTCTCGTCCAGCTTGTCAGAAGCAGCATCTTTAGCCGCGGAAGCACTGAAGAAAAGAAAAGTTAGATAATTCAGAACAGTTCGAGGGTCGAGTGTGTTGGAGGGTCATGTATGCTCGAAGATCATGTGTCAACGTACCGAGTGCCAATGCCAGCGTTTGAGTCCTTGGCAACCTTGAAATTGATTAGTCACACATTCTGAGCAAAAGTAAGTGTTTCCCTGGACTGACCTCCTTGTTAGCCTCCTTGCTGGTGCCAGAGAGACCCTCTTGGACCTTGTGAGATGTTAGCAGTGAACTCAGAAGCATGGCGGAATCTCGAGAGCATTCTTACCTTCTCAGTAGCTTGGTTGACAGTGTTCTTGATGGAGTCCATTGTGGATTGGTTTGGATGGTTAAGTTGGTGAATGCTGAAGTTGATGATTTGTTGAGGTTGTGCGTGATGATGATGAGGGAAGAAAACAGACTGGACTGAGGAGGAATGGGGGGGTTTATATAGATTGATTTACTGTTCTCATTTCAACTTGCGGGTAAACCGTCGTCATCGAGTGTTTGACTACTTGTTTAGCGTACACGTCCTCGAGTTTGGTATGCCTGTCCCCATCGCTCCCCTTCTGTCCAGTTATCATGGACTATCATGTGAAGGGGAAAAGTGTCGTCATTGACTGGCTTCTACATAGGAGTCCTACGTTGCCTAGACGGCTTGATACGTTACTGTTATTGATAAGTGGGAAACAACCGGTCGTACCCCAGCTAACGCGACCACTTGAGAGCAAGATAGCAAGCAAGCTCGGGCGTTTGGCTTGTGATGGTTGCTCAAAAGACATTCCTGACGTCAGGTCATCACCGGAACGTCATCTCGATCAAAGGATCTGGGACCTGTTTTATTTGGTGGGGGTAGAAGAGGAGACTGGTCTGTATACGCATTATGCGCGTCGCGGGGCACAGGTTGGGAGTTCAAGGATTGAGCCCTGTATAATTCCGAGGCGAGACACCTGGATACTGACACATGATCGACCTCGGTCCCTTGCGGCTTAAAATTCGCCTCTGTTACAGAGACTCTCTGGAGTTTGATGTCATTTCAAAGCTCTTTTGAAGGTATTTCTTCTTTTGGTAGCGGGCCCACTTCCCGCGACATCGTGTAACGCGATGGGTCAGATCTGCCCCGCTTCCGGGTTTAACGGCGCCGCCACATAGCGGGGTAGCATGGAGTGTGGCGGTGACGTGGCCAGAGCTATCAGCAATGACGTCATGTGAACATACATTTCAATTACGCTTATCCGTAAGGTGGTTACTTCACACTTCACTTGTTACCTATTTTGTGCTTCCCCAAATCGGGCATTTTGTTCTTCAGCCTGCTTGCTTGTGACCGTACTCCACCCGAGGCGGGTAAAACATAATTACGCCCGACGCCTGCATTTTTGCTTCCTGGTGCTGATTGGTGTCCGTCACCATCTGCTGTGCTCTCCATCGAGATCTCTCCCCTCGTGGTCCTTTTCGACGGAGCAATGTCTCCGCTACCAATCTTATGTATGCATGTTTGCAATTCTGGTTTTCTGATGTGCCACCACGGCCTTTTGGTGGCTGTTTGTTTCTCGATGCTACGCTAACCGCTCGAGGTTTGATGTTTTCGTTTTTCGAGGGGCTTGCAAAACCGCAAAGTGCTCTTTGTATTAGTACGATTATAGTACATGGGAATATCCGCTCGAGCTCATATTTCTGGAGAGAATGACACAATCTGTACTCCGTGATTTGAATCAGCATGAATAGCGGAAATAAAAACTACCCTAGCTGGATGGATTGCCGGCAAATTTTGGTGAAAGTCACATGCATCATCTCCCCGAGGGATGCAGGTAACAACTTGCTTATGCCGAATCGTAAACAGGCAACGAGATTATGGCGCGCTTCTTTACTTGAGTCCTTGTGAGAAAGTAGATAAGGTCGGTACGGGTTGTGATACGCCAATCGCATTCCAGGGTAGTAGTAAGAAGTGTTGTAAATCTTGCACAATCTGGTGTGCCGAAACTCTGCATTGCCTTGTTAGGATCACAACCCATTCCTCCCCACACTGAAATATGGCCGTGGCTCCCCTAGTTGATGCTGGTAGGAACTCGAGCCTTCATATGCATATAGTAGTTAGGAAACAATAAAATGGTGAGTAGATGAAATCTGAAGCTTGACTAGTATATCTATTTCTTAAGAAGCAGAAAGGAAGGAAGAAGTACCAGAGATTAAAACCATAAGATCCTATTCCATACCCAAATTGGATAGTGAAGTCGAGATGATATTGTGGCAGGTGAAGAAGACATGAAGAGAGGAAGGGAAAGACAGGATGGCTATGGGACGGCCTTTAAAACATGACTCTGGGGTCAGAATCTCTGGTAGTTCACAGTGTAATGTAAGACTCACACCGCTTTCCAGATAGTCTTAACCTGTGACAGTTTCAATTGGTGAAAATCGCAGATGCTTTCTTGCCCAAGAAACTATGAAGATACGGCCTTGCGGAGGATTTGTGCAGTGTCTCGCTCAGGGACTTGCTGCGCCGTCCGTATTGAACATTTAGATACCCAGTATTCACTATCTCTTCAACTTATGAGATACATCTCTGCCTTCCTGTTCTCGTGATATGATCGTCTGAACTGTAGACAATACGGTGTTTGCTTTTCGACAACCTACACCATCTGGATCAACATGTACTGCGTGTTATCCGTTTAACAATAATTCGAATGATCAGTTTTTCAACTAAGCCGAGAAACCCCCATGATCTTCGCCAAGTCTCTGAGGTTAGTGTCCTCAAAACATCTGAGCTCCTCAATAGTTGCTAGAACCACGTGCTCTGGCACGTGAACAGCCTCAATCAAGCTTCTCACAGATTGATACATACGACTGTATATCAAAGGTTTCTTTCTGGAAAGTTCCCTAATATAATTTTGCCGTTCTATATTAGAACTTTTTCTTTCTCTCTTAGCATTTCGGCGTGAGACGTGGCGGTGATAACTCACTGATTATCAAGACTCCACAGCTTGAGGCTATCGCGTAAAGCTAGGTATCGATATGAGCCGCAATCGCGTCTCATTTCCGACACCGCTCCTCTTCGGCAAGCTCAAATTTCCTCGACAACAACTCAATTGCAGCTGTAACTCAATAACTGGACTCTTCAATCTTCAATTCAATTAATTAAAAAGAATTTAGTACTGAGGTTCGACGCAATGGCCACAGAACCCTCATCGTCCCTACCGCCCGACCTTTTCGACCAAACAACAATCATCTCCCTCCTCTCAACGCTCGCAATCGTCTTCGTCGCCTATGCTGCCTCTTTGCGTTTCTTACCCTCCGCCTCCTCGGGGACTCTTCGGTTTCTTTTCATATGGCATCTCGCCGATGCCCTGTGTCATTTCCTCCTCGAAGGCAGTTTTTTGTACCACTGCTTCTTCTCGCACCAACCCCTCGTCGAGGATGTGAAGACGGACCTGTTCCCAACACCTCCTGGATTCCTAGGCTATAGCGATCGAGTATATGGTGCGCAGTCAGGTGGAGACAATCCGTTTGCCCAGCTATGGATGGTATATGCGAGGGCTGACAAGAGATGGGCTGGTGTCGACTTGGGGGTTGTGAGTCTGGAGTTATTGACTGTGTTCTTTGATGGGCCTTTAGCTGTTTATGTGTGCTACTGCCTGGCTAAGAAGGATCCTAAGGTCAGCATATGGATGATTGTCCTGGCTACTTGTGAGCTGTACGGCGGTAAGTCTCGACAGCACCTCATTTCATATGGATTCGCCAAACTAAACAACGCTCAGGATTCATGACTTTCTGTCCTGAATGGCTCATCGGAAGTGCTAATCTCGACACGAGTAACTTCATGTACCTTTGGGTTTACCTATTTTTCTTTAACACTCTGTGGGTCTGGATTCCGCTTTGGGTTATTTGGTACTCAGTCAAGGACATATCAAATGCCTTAAATCTGCGCCAAGGTAAGAAGACTCTCTAGACACCAAGAGATCACAGGCCATGAAGTCATTTTATACTTGCAGTATATGTGTAGTGTTGTTGAAGTGCCGTAACATGGATGCAGAACGCAAAGCCAAGTTTGGGCACTGGGATCATTAATGTATGCGACACGGTGCGGGCAGTCATGCAGAGCCTCTTGTGAAGAGCTTCTTTTAAGCCTAGATACCCGAGATTTAGATCTAGATCTTCTCATATATCCTCAAGGTTAGGGTAATATCGTCACAAGAACCGTAAAGCTTATGGTCAGGTCATCGTAAAATCCTCAACATTGTTCGTCATGTATTATCTGAGTATTAATTACGTGACAATTTTCTCTCTCTCTTCAGGCAACATTGGTGAAATATCTCGTTGAATTCGTACGTACAATATAGCTTCGCTGGTAGCGAAGCCCCTGTGCCACGTCCTACCAAACAACCCGAAACGGTTCTAGAAAAGTGCATATTTACACGAGCATAGCACCTTTTGCAGTAACAACGAGACGTGTTTCCTCAACTCAAATAGTACGGTGAGAACGCCGACCATCAAAATCCGCCATCGAAACGCCACCCTTCACATATATGATTCCAGTCCGTACTAGATCGGTACAAATCATCTCATTTCTCCCACTCCTTGTAACTCTTCTGCTTTTGTCTAGTATTCCATCCCAACTTTCCACTAATACTGTTCACCCAGTCTTCACTCCTCCGTCCCTCGGCTTGCACCGAGGCAAATGGAAATCTACTGGCGCTGATAGTCACGTAATCTCCTGGCTTAAGCTCGACACGTTCTCGGCCATCGAAGCTCGCCCATGAAGCCGTTCTTGCGCTATATGGAACACCGACCCGTAGCACAATCGTGTCAGGAAGGATGATAGGCCTGAAAGACAGGGTATGCGCGCATATAGATGTTACCAGCATCACGGGGTTCTCGGGGTGGCACAAGGAGCCTCCGGCGGCGAGGTTATATGCCGTTGAGCCTGTGGGTGTCGATACGCAAATACCGTCCGCCAAGACTGAGGTGAAGTGCTCATCGTCACCAAAAATTTCGGTAGTTGACATTGCTAGAATATACATTAGAACATCTCCTGCAGGGGTAACGTTTACTCTGGGATTCTCACTTGGGTTTGGTCCTCTGTCCACTACCACCTCATTCAGAATCTCAAACGTCCCATCCGGCCGATGCGTGTGCTCATCTTCCCTCTCCTCACCTATAAGCTCCTCCACCAAGTCTCGGGACTGCTCCTCGTCCTCCTCGGGGCCCTGACTAAGCTGGGCTCTCTTGCGCGGCTGGCTTCTCATGACAGTGCCTTCGAAACGAAGCCTCAGGCTAACTGTAACGCCCTTGGTGAAGGCCGTTAAGAGTGTCTGCTGGTAGTCCTCGAAGTCAAACTTGGTCAAGAAACCCAGGCTTCCTAGCGCAAAACTCAATACGGGTGGCACGATGCGCTGGAAGAGCCAGCTGGCATATAACACTGTACCATCGCCACCAAGTGAGATAACAAAGTCAAAGGTATGAGGTCGTGTTCTGCACATGTTCTCGTCCCAATATCGGAGTCGCCTGTTCAGCGTTTCTTTGACAGCCTGCTCGTTCATGTCGCCTCTATCAAGATACCCCTTGCTCACCTCGTCAATTATTCCACTTACATCAAACTTCTTGTTTGTTTTGAGCTTGTCTTGAACATAGACGGTGTAGGCGACCTCGTGACTATGTTGAAGGAGCCACTTGACCAATTCTCGTGTCTTTGGGATCAAGTCTTGGTCGTATATCTTTGTGAGGATAAAGATGCTCTTGACCTTGAACCGAAGTCGCATGCTACTCAATCGGCGACTTAGTTCACGCACACCCCATGCCATATCGCTAAGCTGCTGCTTGGTTAGGAGGCGACTTCGCACGTCGTCCTGATAACCTGAAAGGTCAACGTCGGACATGCTTTTGGTCATCTGCTGCGTCCAGGCCTGCTGATCAGCTTGGCCTGAGTGTTCCATACCACCAGGCTCGACAACAGCGCGACACTTCTTCTGGTATTTGGGGTCTACAATCGAGTCGAGGCTGTCGTCACGAACAGCTTCGATGTGATCGCCATTGAGAGCCTTGTGAAAAGTGGCATGGCTAGTATTTGGATTGTTGCTTAAATATGACGGAGGGTTATTCCCTATTGAGGGTTCCGACTCTGGCTCGCTGGCTGAGCTGGCAGCATCTTTTGCGCGTCGCTGACTGTCAAGAAACTGGTGGACAAGGCACTCATCACGTCGCGAAGGATGGCGCATCACAGGCGCCTTGATCTCTGAGGCAACCATTGAGCTTTTGCGACGATATGGGTTTCCGGGATCGAAGACGACCTGCATAGGCGATTAGATCAGTCGCACCATTCTTGGTTGTCATCTGGTATTGGCGACAGTATGGACGAACCTCTACTGCCTTGCAGTCCTCGTCAGAACTCCCATCGTATTCGCGATTGCGACCATCTTCAAAATGAATGTGTTTCTCCGTGTGGTCTCCCATTTCTGCAGTTGAAAGGATAACACACGATTGTTCCTTTTACTTGTTATATCTTTTGTTGCTCGTGTAGTTGGATGACGTTGTTAGCCTGGCCTCAATAGCGGGGCAAATGGGAGACGGATCCACTGGACCGCTTCTGAGAAAGCCAGGACTTTAACAATCTTGACCTTTTTTTGAAGAGAGTTGATATTGGAATCGTCCTGATCGCTGAGTTCTCTTACCTTTCCCGCCGTGGCTCTAGCATCTGTGTATCAACTACCGATGAATGCCAGGAAGCTTTATATACTCTAGACCATGGTAGCAGCTCCAAAGACTTCACCTACTTATTGCTCATCTGCAGTGTGCTGATATAATAACAGTGGACCTCCTTGTCCTAGGTCTCGCACATGATAGTCTTGATTATCAGGAAAACGAAGTCTTATTAGCCCATTGGCTACAGTTTCATATGCTTATTAGCCCTGTTAGATAAGCATTGAACTCACGTGTTAGTCAAATCATACAGTTTAGGGTAATCAGGAGCCCAAAGCATCATCATGATAGTCAATCTCAAGCCAACAGACAGAAGACATTGGCACATATTGCTAGACCACGATAATCTGTTCATGTGAAGCCGACATATGTCGAGCTGGTGTGATCATTGGCAGTACCGAACGTCACTTAGAGCATGGCTTACTGAGGCTTACTTGACGTGCTGGTGGATATGACCAATATGACATAAGCTTCTGATCATTGATCGGAGGCGGTAAATTATGCGATATCGACTCTCAGGAATGAAGCCGCTTCGGTAGCGCCTGATCAGCATAAACAGTCTTCCCAATTAATATGCGAACATGGATGGTGATCCAATGAACTTGTGGTGGTGTGAACAGCCTCCTCAAAGTTCTCGTGAAGGCCTCAATCAACTTGAGCCCGTCAATGCAAGGTGAAACTATCTGAAGTCTAATATGTTAGTAAAGCGGTCGACGATGTCCTTTAACTCGAAGCTGAGAATTAAAAAAAAAAAAAAACCCGAAACAACACCATGAGGCATCTCTTTTGGCCATACATGCTGGTTGGGACAACATAAGCAATAACAAACAGTCAGACCATTGTTGATCGAGTCTTCTACGAAGAGAAAACAACGACAACTGTGTTTACTTAGTACATATAATAAAGACGAGGGGTGCACATTCACCTTGCATTACAGAGTACACAAAGATAGATAGGGGTGCCAAGTCGAAGAGGGAAGTGAAGCTGCTGCAGGAAAGCTATAATAAGAGACCTGTCATCCGTACCCCATGCTTAGCACTCAGTAACACCTTCGTTTTAAGCATCCATTACAAGAAGATAGGATGAAGAGCAGGTATTCTTGACACGAGATCAAATATGAATGCTGAGGTGCTTCTTGTAACTGATACCAACCCTTAAGTGTTCCTAATCAAACGCTTCGCAAGCCACTGATTGTCTGCTATAGCACCCATAGCTATAGTCCAGGCCCTTTCCGGGAGCACTTGTTTGAGGAGGAAACATCTCCCACTTCATTATGCTTCTAGCCTGGACGTGTGAGGAAAAAATAAAGAGTGGACAATCCATGTTAGACTAATGCCTACAAAACAGCAAAGACTTACACAGTATGGCATATGATTAGGATACCAAAACGATTTCTTCAAAAAGCTTACTGACGATAGACTAAAGCTGCCCTAAGCTTCTCCAAGCACCTTCTAACCCTTGGGATAAAAGCCTTGACGTTCCCCAACTCTCCATCAACAGGCGTTGGGAGTGAAAGTCACATAAGTATAAACTAATAGACTGGCAAACTTTCAGACGGAGGCTCAATGAATAGGACCAACCATTATAAACTCGCTATCAAGTCGATCTATAACACTGTACTAGTCTAGGGCTAGATGCTGATGAAACTTCTCCTCATTCCAGAGATCTATGGGTTCTTCACAGTTATATTAAACAGAGCACATCCTCCATCCACTTACATGCGTGCTCTTCCCCAGTCCAATCTGCTCCCGGACGGACGACTCGGTATTCTTAATAAGAACCCGCGCACAAGACTTGCCAATTTACGAGTCGATAGCTGCATACACGGACTGCCAAGACTTCGGCACTTGAACCTTGACCTTGTCTGGCTGTCCTCGCTTACAGAGCTGTGGGTTTCAAAGATAAAGTGGAAAGGCTTGAAACAACAAAATGGAGAACCAACCACCAGGTCCGCAGAGACAGACAGATGCTAGAGAGGCCTAGACAAGGCTCTCGATGAAATTGACTCGCTTCCAGCTGCAAGCTAGCCAGCTAGTGCTCTCTCATTGTGCAGGTATAGTAGTTTTTAGGCGTTCGCATGGTTCCGTTGACAGATCTGTTACCGGGTGCAAGCTCTGAACCTTGCGAAACGTCCCTGTATCCATCGTCTCGTGGCCAGCCGTTCTCCCCGCCTTCGGCACCAGCAGGATCCGTGTGACCTGCCATTGTAATCTCAAACCCTCTGTTCCAAAAGAGGAAATGGCACTCGTCTAAGCTCTTGGCCCTTTAGTCATTGTCTCGTTAGCTCTCATGCTAAAGGGGATCCCTCCCGAATCCATGTTTCCTTCTTGTTTTAAATCCACGGCGTAGTTGCACAAAACGGACAAACGTGGACGCTAGCCCCGATGCGGATTAACCCCACCGTTTGCTTCCCTTGAACTCCTGCCTCTTACAACCCGACGAAACTTGACTCTGTAACAACAATGCTTCAGCCTCTTCGAACCGGCGTTTTTCGCCGCCCTCAGAGCAGTCTTTCAAGAAGCTCAGTCAGTGGTGAAGTATCACTATCAGGAGGACCGTGAGAAGCAGTTCAGTTGTGGCTTCCATTCGAGGTCGATCATCGTCAAAGCTCAAGTGAGAATGGCACAGATGATCGAGCCCAAAGAACTCAATCTCGAGGTGGAGTAGCATTCTCTTACGCCAATTCCGTCAGCGTATTCGAGAATCAGCATCCCAGAAACCCAATCTACACGGGTGAAACAATAGCCTTCTCGCTCTAATGCTGGAAATGCCTCTAACCCACATCAAGGGTCTGGCTTGGCTCGCTTGGCTACCGTTCTTCACCACCATCTCTCAGGGGCGACAGCTTCAATGCTACCAAGCTCCGTCATGAAGCAGCTTGATCCTTGCTCTTTGGAGATTTCTGAGTTGCGCAGGGGTCACCAAGCTCACCGGATCTAGGGCAATCTGCGTTCCCGCTCGATGTGATTTGCCCTCAATTCGAGATATCAAGTCCTATATCGCCTCCATTGCCTCAGTCTCCTCCCACCTAGCTGGTGCTTGTCTGATCTTCGTTTCTTTTCTTGTTTTTCAATCTTACATTCGTTTGCCACAGGCCAGGTGCCATTTCCATTTCATTGTATTCATTTTTACGGTACATCTTCAGTGTTTGATCATCTATCTACTGCTTCTCAAAGTTTGCTCTGCTTTTCAATTGACCAAGTATACGCCTGGAGGTCATTCTGGTTCCTGCTATCATATCTCGGTGCTTTCCCATTTCTCTCATCATCTTTCCTTGTCCTTTGGCATCATAGCCCTCTTTCGATACTTTCATACGAACTCGACATCGACATGGGAAACTAGACCTACCAAGAAGGACAACGCGGTGCCGGCACTGTGAAGGCTTAACGCCTGCCCTTTACTTGACAAACACTCGAATTTGACCAGAAAACGACAACAACATGGACAACGACCCAACGATGGACTCGACCGGCTTTCAGTTCCAGGCAAATTCTACATCAAAATGGGACAACGAACTCAAGTTTGCTGCAGCTGGCTCCGTCCGCACCTCGATCATCGTCCTATCGGTTTTCAACGTGATTGTAGCATTCGCAGTTACTATCAGTATTCTTCTGCGCTCATGGAGAACGCTAAAACAAGTCGAACCGATATGGGACTTTAAGTATGTACTGCATTTCCCGACCCGCAAGATTTTGTTCTCACAGTCACTCTTAGGTCGTCTTGGTTTCGGCTAGTCAAAGGACGAGATGTTTACCCCTTCGTACTTTCCTTGGGCATTGTAGTTCAGGGAATTGTGTATGCTACTGCTCAAGCCAAGGGACTTGAGTCACTTATGATCCTCGGGTGTGCCACAATATCGCGAATGATGCTGCTAGGTATGTTGAGAGAACGATGAGCTTTCACTTGAAGATACTAATCCAATTTAGCTTTCTTCATCGTACCCTTCATTCAGATGTTGTTCGGCCTGGAGTTGACAATCCGTATTACGAGGCCGAGCATATTCCCTTTCCGTGGCAAATTCAACACCCTTGCCTGTCTAGTAACCATCGGTATCTTGTTGATCATCGTGTTCTCCATAACCTTTGCTGTTCTACCCTCGGAGTTTTGCTTTGCCAGTCTGATCTCTTTCCTACATCGATACGATGCCGGATGCTTTGGGGTTCTACTCACTGTCATCCTGATAGTTCTGATTGAGTGCGGAGTCATATGCTTCAAGCTTCATACTGGTGCCAGAATGCGCATTGTTGAGAGGGACGAGGCATCTCGCATGGTCTACCATATGATAATTGCTGTGATCTCATATGTAAGTATGGATCTGAAAGTGATAGCTTGTACTAATTCCGAACAGACTTTGCAAATAACATTCTTCTACAATACGGCGTTCCGAGATACAGGAGCCGCAGATGACACGTCAATGACCCTGAACATGATCGGAACAGTTGTAATGAACATGTCAGGACTATTGCTTGGCTGTCTCTATCTCTTCTTGCGATCAAGCAGATCCCCAACTGGTTGTTCTGATGACGACATTGAAGCGTCTCAGGGTTTCAGAAAATGGGGTGATGACCAGGATCAAGAGCCCCCAACCCCTGGGTCTGCGATGCTACAGCCTCTTGATCTTCCCAAGCTGGTTCGCAAGGCTGAAAGCAAAGAAGATCTGGCGCTGGACGACAGAGTGGAAGACAAAGTGTTTGGTGCGCGCAAGGACTTCCTCAACCGTGGCCTGAAGCCTCTGCGATTGGGAAGTATGCGTA